ATTACTTCTATCCTCTTTTTTGAAAATGGGCGTTATGTTGGCATGCTTCCAATCAGAAGGTACCACACCTTCAGATAAGCATTCTGTAAAGATGTCTTGCTGAAAGAGCAAGTGAGCAGTAGTCAATATGCACTCAGGATTGATGGGCTCTGCACAACCTACCAACATGACCATTTATATTGGAACTTGCTAAATGGAGTATGTTCTTTACTGCCTTCCAGATGCTCTCCATGTTGATTGTCATCATTGGAGTGTATGCCAAAACCCAGTAGGCCACAGATAAGACTGAAGCATCCTCCAACTGATCTGGAGGACCAAGACTCATTTTCAAAATCACCACTGAACACTTGGTCAGCCAGCAGCTATGGTGTCCAAATGGTCCTAAAGAGATATTAATTTTGAGCCTTTAATACCATTTAAATACCATTTACTACCAATTAAAATATATGTTACTAACAATGTATCACCGAGGTAAATAGCTGCAGAATTTTCTTGTGTGTTTGTGCCTTCCACAGATGCAGTTCAGGACACGTTCTTAGTTGACCCAGCGGTCATTCTGATTGCATTCGGAGTGGTCATGTTCTTCATCACATTCTGCGGTTGCACTGGAGCCCTGCGGCAGAATATGCAACTCTTTAAAATCGTGAGTGGTTGGCCCTTCATTGCCTTCTCATCCTCACATCATGATGAGAATATTACCCTGAAATCAGCCTGAGGGGCACAAATGACATCAAAGGACAGTCCATCCTATCTAATGCACGTATAATATCCATTTCTCTGTGTACCTAGAATCTGGGGAAGAAATGAATTAATAAGTTTAGGACCTGATGTTTCTTGTCTGCAGTGAAATCTTTTCTTATGAAGTGCACGTTCCTGGTTTTTCAGGAACGTGTTTCACTGAGCTGGTCTGACCACCTTACTTGACCTCTCCTTCTGCCCACCCTAGTTTTCTCTCAGCCTGACCCTGGTCTTTCCCATCCAGCTTTCCATCGCTGTGCTGGGATTCTTTTACTCCGACCAGGTTTGTCCACACTGTCTATGCTGACCAGGCCAACGGCCCACCCACACCCACCCACACCCACAGATTATGCTGAAACCTAAAAATGATCCTTCTGTCTATCCTGTCTTACTTTCTAAGAGACACAGAGACACATATACAGAAGATAGCAAGCTTATGGGTCACAGTGCAGGGCTAGCCAGCATGCAGCGCTCCCCAGGATGCTGAGCCCTGGGTGCACTGGGACCCAGGGCTCAGCATCCTGATCATCATCATCATCTGCTTTGTAGAGCAGGAAATGCTGGTACAGCCTCAGCGCTGCTACGATACTGGTCATGACTTCCATTAGACACCAAATCATATATTTTTTATCAAATCAATCAATTTGCTGTTATTAAAGATGTTATCAGCAGGTTCAGGGGAAGGCTAGGTGGACAGATGTGTAAAAGAGGCATTATGAAGCTGGAATTTCATGTTAGTGTTCCAGGATTGACACTAATCTGTCCAGACATGCTCATTTTTCTTTTATTCCCCATAACAGACTCGTGACACACTTGGAAAGTTTGTGAAAAAAGTCATTGTGCACTACAGAGATGACCTGGACCTGCAGAACCAGATGGACTACATTCAGAAAGAGGTAAGACAGACCTCATCTCCTAAAAGATACTTCCATTGAGAGACATGTCCCTGGTTTGCCTCAAGAAAAGCTAGTCTCTTAAAATCACTTTAATGATCTCCAGTGATATGCTCCAGGTGGGTGATGTAATCAGGTAAAACAACTTCATGCTTCAGTTCAAGTGCTGTGGGTGGAACGACTACACTGACTGGTCCTGGAACCTCTACTTCAACTGCAGCCCAGACAATCCCAGCACAGAGAGGTGTGGCATTCCGTATTCCTGCTGCATCCCTCTTCCGGGAGAGGTACAGTAGGGCTCCTGAAGGAACAAAACCTCACCCACGGTGCCCAGGGGGTCACTCACTTGTAGGACAGCTCTCATAATCTCCCCGGGTCCTACCAAAGCTTAATCCACCCTCACTGTCATTTTGAAGTCATTTTTGTCCCAAGTGAACTTTTAATTACTTTAGTTGGAGCGAGTAATATTGATCTCGATCCATCAAGACCCTATATGGAAGAGTATCACTGGTGCAAATGAAAATGGACAAGTGTTTCCTTAGCTTTCAACTTAATTAGGATAAATTGTTTGGTTGGATAACTGGTTAGGAGCTAGAAAGTCTTAAGTTTTATAACTGATTGTAATTTGATTCAGACAATTTTACACAATGAAAACATCTTTGCTAAAATAAATCACAATGATAATTTGACAGAAGGCCCAGATTTTCTTTATTAATTGATTGAAACCCAAAGCATCAGACACAGTCTGTGAACTGTTGTAATAAGGAAATCTTTGCCCCCTTTTGATTCAATGATATAAGAAGCACGGTTGCCCCTAGTATTGTGACGACCCTCAGTCGCCTGTGACCCAGGTTAATGCCAGGACAACACAAGTGACAACAAACAATAGCTCAAAGACACCCTCACCATCTCTCAAAAGAAAATACTGAGTAATCATTGTGTATCCAGCTAATTGCTTTAGTGAGCTTTTTAAAAAGGCAAAGGTCTCAGGGGAACAAAAAACTGCTAAGTGAAGATGTCTAGCATGATTGAGCTTATTCACTGACTTAGTGGTTTGTCACTGTAGCCAAATGATGGATCACCAGCTCTTGTTTATTCCTGGATGCATCCCCCAACCAGTCCCATACTCCTTCTGTTCCTTCTGGTAGGAACAAACTTAGAGTATTAAAGCTTGTCACGCAGGTCTCTTTCTTCATGCTCCAGACTGTCATCAACACTATGTGTGGGTTTGGGGTCCAGACACTGAAGTACCTGGAAGCCGCCAAGTCTATCAACTCAGTGGGGTGTGCAGACAGGGCCGTAATATGGATCGAGTCCCACCTCCTGCTTGTCGGTGCCCTGGCTCTGGGCCTTGCCCTCCCTCAGGTAGTGTATTCAGACAGGAAGTGGCTCTGTAAGTGCCGAAACATCCTGACATGCTGCTTCTTGTCTTCCCTCAGATTGTAGGCATCGTGCTGTCCCAGATCCTAATATCACAGATTCAGAAAGAGATTGACTCTGTGTTGTGATCCTTGGAAAACCCACTAGAGAAGCAGCCCTAATGCTGTGGCTCTTGGTCAAGTAAATGTTCTGTGTTACAAGTATGGATCCACAGGTAAAACACATATATGCTCAATTTTTGACATGTTCAGCGAATTACTTAGCATTTCTACATGTGAGGTGACAAAAGGACTATTTACAGAGATTATTTATTCATTTGTTTGGTTTTCTATAGAAAATAAAAAAAACATAAAAATCCCAAAATGCAAAAACTGGGAAAAACCAAAAATAATCCCATAAATCCTTCCATGAAGGAAATCAAGTAATAATAGAATGACAATTATAATTGTATTAAAATATATTTTTAGCAGGATGAATTTCTTTTATCATTCATTTCTAAATAGAAATGTAATTTACAGTACGTCTACTACTAATTCATTACATATTTGGTGGCCCTCAAATAACAAAGTACCAGTAAGTGTACTCTGTGTATGTGTATATGAGGAACTCTATCGCAGTGTATAAAAAATGCATATTGCATGTGACTGTTGAGAGTATTCAATGAGCAGACATTATGCTGGAGTGTCATATGTGCTATGGATGTTGACCTGGACATGGCAGAGATTTTAGAACCTGCTGGGCTATTGAAACATTACTAGCACTATTTCAGATATCAGAAAACTACATATACTTACTCAACAAGTTTGACTCCACTGATTTTACTTTAATTTAAGTCAAATTCAAGTTTTGGAAGCTCCCCCACAGAAAAAAAATGTGAGCAGTGGCATTTAATGCCTCCTGTCATCAGTTTTCCTGGGATGCCTTCTGTAGAATCCATCCATTTTCTGAAACTGCTTATCCTACTCAGTATAGTAGGGAGTCTGGAGGCTATGGGCGCAAAGCAGAGAACAACCCAGAATTTGTCACCAACACATTGCAGAGCGCATTCACACAAACAATTTGATAACTCCAATTAATCTCAATATGTTTTTGTAATTTGGGGTGGGGAGCAGACTAACTGGAGGAAACCCTATGACAACACAGTATAAACATGTGAACACACATTTGGAGCCATTGGCAGAGGCTTGAACCCTGATTCCAGAGATGTGAGGCAACAGTGCAAAACCACTGCACCACCCCTTTGTAGAATGTGAGGAATGAATATTTGTAAAATACTCCCAGCCTCAGGACACTCTTTTACTTTCAAATCTCCATTTAAGGCTCTTTTGCTCTCTATGTCTGTTCAGGGCTCTACAGTATAACAATACTTCTTCTGTCTCCTAGTAATAATAACTTAAGTTGTTTTTATGTGATTATGTTATAAATAAAGCCAATAAATTCAAATTGCATATAAAATCCCTCGTAAATGGGAGAGGGTGGGTGGGTATTGTCTTTTCAATGATAGTGGTACTGATTGTGTAAGGCAATGTTTTCTGTCTTTCTTTTTCCTCTTTCATCTGGAGCGTCCAGAGCACAGGGGTTGAATACTTTGCAGTTATCATTTTCTTTTAAAGGATTGCTGCCAAAGGGCAGCATGGTGGTGCAGTGGTTGGCAGTTGCCTCACACCATTGAATCCCCGCCCCCCCACACAAAGTCCAAAAACAGGCTGAGGTGAATTGGAGTTCCCAAAATGTATGTATGTGTGAGTGTGCCCTGTGATGGGTTATTTCCTGTCTTGTGCCTGTTACTTACAAAATGAATGAGGATTTGCTGACAACTAATTGATAATGATTCTGAAAAATTCCTGTGAGAGACTGAGTTTGTAATAAAAATACTGCCAAGAACCATATGTGTATGTATTATTTATATTTCAGGCAAATCTAATCATTTGGGGAGTGGTCTTACCACTAATTGCATTTATACCTGTATCCACCCCAGTCTCCAGTCTCACAAAGGAAAAGAAAACTCTTCTTGATGTTAAAGACCCCCCCTTACCCCCTCCCTTATAATTGTCATCAAAATATATTTTACTAATTGCAATCTTAACATTACAGTGAATTTAATGTATTGCTTTCTGGCAACATATTCATTGAAAAGTAATATTTTCAGTACTACTGAAATGTGTTTCTCAGCTGTTTATATGCTGGAGTTACATTTGATAGCATCATTGTGATTTCAGTTACAGGCTTGCTGCTAATGTTTTTTTTCTTTCTTTTTTTACAAAGGACTTCTTAGGGTGATTTTTGTATTTTGGTTTCCTAAATTGTTTTCATTAAGTTGTCCTGTATCTTTTCCTGGAAAATGCTGCAAATGTTATCATGCTCATTTCATCATAAAAAGCATGTATCATTAGGCCAGGTTATTTTGCAAAGTCAATCAGTCATCCATGGGACCCAAATCACTGATGCTGCAGATATCATTGTCTTTCTGGCACAGGAGACTGTCCTCTGTCTATCCCTGCAGACCACTGGCCCTCAGGATAAGTCGGTGCGTCAGCGGGGAGTTGGGCTGAGCGGCGTCTCGCTCCGTGAGTAGGCGTCTGTAGATACAGCACAGGACATAGCATGCCTGAGCCAAATCTGATGCATTTATGGCTTTCAGGCAGGGGCAGATTAATTCACGGGCTATCCTAGGATATAGGGCCCCAGAAATATCAACAAATCCCACCTTGGGAAAATTATTACATTATTATTTATTATCATTAAATCTGGCCAGTCGATCTAGTCTACAGTATATTGGCAGCCACTCCCCACGCCCCCACTGCCAATACACCAGCCCCATTCAGTAAGTTTTAACCACTTAAAGCCTCATTTATAGCACTGGGAGATCTGAGTATATGTATGGTGAGCAGATAATTCAGTCACATTGTTTTTGTGTTATACTGCAGCACTTACTCTTACTCTGAATCTATGTAATGCTCACCTGGCTAGTTTGTGATGCTGTTCTTCCTCAGATTTCATTGCAGCATGAATGAGAAGCTGATTGAGGACATCTCTCTGAAAAGTGAGCGTGGAATGAACACAGACAATGTAGAAACTAACTTCACAAGGGTCAAGCTCCTAAGACAGGACAGCCAGGTGTCCAAATGGTAACCAACTCTGTACAGGAGAAGCAAAAAGACAGATGTAAGAATCCTCTATATCAAAGGACTGGGTTGAGAAACTCTCTATATCTGTGTATCACAGGAACAACCTTGCCTGCAACATAAATAGAAAAGAAGACCTACTGACATTTTTCCTGTATCTCTGCTCCCACTAGAGGGCAGTATTAGTAAATTCCTCACTTACATTAAGCAATTATACTATACTATACTACTCACAATCTCACCTGTGCATCACTGCCCCCTATCTCATGGAAGCGGTACCGGATTGGCAGCAGAAGTTCAACTGCACGGTTACAGTTGCCGCAATCATACTCCACCAGAGCCTGGCACATGGGCACTCCAATGGGCCTCGCCAGCTGCCGTAAATGGTGTTCTCCAGGGTCCCTAGAAGAGGTGAAATAACTTGTCATCATAATCTCACCATTGTTGGTATGTTAAGTTTGAACTTAAATGCATTTCACGCATGACCTGAAGTGTGATTACATTCTTTGCAGTGGTTCCAACATGTGGTTACCAGGGGCCTCATGTACAAACGGTGCGTACGCAGGAAAATGTTGCGTATAGCCGTTTCCACGCTCATGTCGAGATGTATAAAAACAAAACTTGGCGTAACGCTGCGCACATTCTCACGGTAGCTCCAGATATGGCATACGCACATTTCTGCTCGATTTTGTAAACGGACGGTACTCAGTGGCAAGTCATTGCTACTGTGGTTTCCCTTTTTAAACTCACAATCGTGACGCTGACTTTATCAAATACACCGACATTAATTGTATGTTGTTTACAAATGTACAGCACCTGATTTTTAATCATTTTGTAACAATAAAATGGTGCAGAAAATGAGTATTACAACTACCATGGCAGCTCTTGCGTTATTGGAAGACATAGCTTATGGAAGAATTAAAAGAGAGCACGTATTCAGGGATCATATACTGATTTCCTGGTCCATGATGATGACTGGCTTCTAAGTCGATTCAGACTTCCAAGAGCAATCCTTTTGGAGCTGTGTGGTAAACTGGGGCCAGCCGATGAGGAATTGCGCTATAGGCTACCTGTTCCTTTACAAGTTCTGTCCACTCGCGGGTTCTTAACCACTGGTGCTTTTCAGCGAGAACTTGCGGACCGATCGGGTATTTCTCAGTCAACACTGAGTCGCGCCATGCCAGCTGCATTGGACGGCATAGGCTAATCCGCATTTCACCCAGATATATAAAATTTCCTTACACTGTGGTTGAACAGGCAAATATTAAAGCGCAATTTGCAGCGATGTCCGGTTTTCCCAATGTAGTCGAATTATCGACTGCGCGCACATTGCTATAAAGTCACCTTCAGAGAACGAATTTGCTTATGCTTATGTAAATAGAAAGCACTTTCATTTTATTAATGTACTCTATTAATGCACTGGGGGCACCTCTTGTACTATTGTCTGTAAGAATAAACAAACAGAATAAACTAAAGTAACACCGCATCTGCGCCCTACGTGTTATTCATAAACATGCAAGTAATTCAAACAAGTATGGTACGAGAAAAACACCCGCGCTGACATCGGCGTCCCCCTCACCCGATAAAAGTGTGTCCCCAATCATCACAGCAACTAGTTGCTCAAAGGGTGTGATACCGGGAATTCCGCGACCTCCGCCTGTGCTTTTAAGACTCTTACGATGAGCGGCCGCTCATTTTTTCACGTCGATTTTAATGTCCGACCACTTCTTTTTAATTTCGGCCACCGTGCCATTCTCGGAACCAACACTTTTAACTGACTCTGCCACATTTTGCCACTCCGTCAACTTTCGTTTATTGCTGATGCCACTTATACTACCAAATAATATCACTTTTCTTTTCTCGATTTCTGTTAACATGACCTCCACTTCGCACTCACTGAAATACTTCTTTTTCCCATGTGGTTTATTCATTGTTGTTTAAGAAAAACAAAGCGGGCATTTATACAGATTTACATATGCAAATATACTCGTTCACGTACGTTAAATTTCACGCTCATTGGGATTTATAAAGGGAATGTGCGTAGATCTGTGCTTACGCACAGTTTTATGGATCTGGATTTTTTCTTGCTTACGCACATTCCTAGTTTTGTCCGTATGCCATGTTTTAGTGTGAATTCTACGCACGTCGTTATACATGAGGCCCCAGATCAGTAAATATCTCTTTATGGGGAATTTCAGCAGCTTTCTGTATTATCAATGAACCTGGATAAACTTGTGTGTTAAGAGCAGTAAGGCACTGGTTGGCCCTCCTGCAAATGCCACTCACTCTGCCAGCTCCTGCAGGGTTCCCAATAGCCTGTGGGATGCTTCACGTTCCTTGGCACCTAGTGATGCCATGAGGAAGTGCAGGTCATTGAAGAGCAGCACATGGTCATCTGAGTGAGCCTGGATCACCCTAAACAGCTTCTGCCAGCGTTCCTTCATACTCATGCCTGGCTGAACACAAACATGCGTCTGTACACAAACAGTATTACACATATTGTAGAGTGGGTCTGTGTTTCAATCTACAAAGTACCTGTGCAGACATAACTCACTCTTCAAAGGAACCACACAGATTTCCATACGTCCACAGTAACTCAATTAAATCCACCTTCATTCAGAACTCATACATATGTCAACACCGCAAGAGGGCAGCATTGGGCTCATTGTGCCACTTACCCTCCATCTCCAGTCTATAGAGCATGGAACAGCAGTCGACTGTTGGAAGCATGGCCCCACTAGATATGCACCGTGGCGCAACCTGCAAGGAAACAGTGCAAACCGCAACACCAAAAGATATTTAAGCACTGCCTAAATGTCCCAGAGGCAGGTAACTGTGCTCCGACTCAGCTTAGAACAATAATCTCAACATGGGTATAGATTAATTTGTAGCTTTAACCTTGGTATGGCAACAAAGGCTTGGTTCAGTTTCTTCATGGTATGTGCAGGTTAAAGAGCTCTGGGACAAGTTCCTGTGAAGTCATGGAGGTCTTACCTGAGTATCATATATCTTCAGAGCTGCCTCATGTTCCCCCTGTGGAGAACAATATTTCTGTATTACTCTAATGATGTTTAAATAAAAGTTAAAAACTCGCCAAAAATATCAAATTTAATGATCACTTAATCGCCTACAGTATAGTATAATTTTGTAAAAAGAAATACAGTATATAACATTATATAAAATACAAACTCACAGACATACATATTGTTTACTTTTGGTTTCATACATTGCATATTTGGGATAAGATCACAGACGACATTTAAAAACAAAATGTTTTATGAAAATTCAGATGAATGAATAGGTAAATTATAGATAAATGAACACTGCATTAGGTTTGTGAACCCTGCAATATTGTGGGGGGTGAATACTTCTGCTCAAATTTCAAACATGGTTGGCAAACTCCCAAGAGTACAAACAGTTTTTACAGCCCTATTGTATCACTCTCACAAAGTGTAAAAAAATGCCTTCAAAATACAGTGGTACGGTCACCTTTTCAATGTGGTACAGAGCCCAATGCCAGTAGTTATGAGAGGCCAGCATATCAGCTCCCTAAAAAGAAAGTGACATTATTATCAAGGCTACTGATCCTGCTGGGCTTCTACTTTGTACAGAATTATTCATTTTCTGGACATTCAATTACTGGTGATCCATGACAGCTCTTTCACAGAAATCTGTAATAGCAATCAATGGTATCTTACAGACATTAACTACACGCAGTGACAAAACAATGTTAAGCACCCAGACGGAGTGGTGGAAATGAAATAAATCTGCACTTGCTGAAAGTTCATGTAACTGTATCGCAACATTTGTAATATCAGATCAAGATGTACTACACAGACGGTTTTTTGGTATAAATTAGAATTCATGGTAAACTCACTAGTGCTGATGTTGGCTTAATGGTATTTTTGGACTCACCTAGCAAGACAACAGATTCCCAGAAATGTTACATTTTGTCCAAGTAGCACGATGCATATCACAACTCAGCAGAAACTGCAGAGGCTTTCGCCTCACTACCCGTGCATAGTTTTACTGAGCATTTTTCTCATGATAGATGAACGATGAAATAAGATGTGATAAAGCAGACTTGTAAATCTCTATATGTTGCTTTTTACTAGATTTCTTTCAGCTCTTGGTTATATCACCTTCCCCAGACTGTTGGGCACTCATTTCTTCATGGCATCCTCGGATATCCCATTGCAGAGACTCCATAAAGTCACATGATGCAAAAACACCGTAGACAGAAAATTACTTCACAGAAGCACTCACCTTCCAGTCCTTCTCATTTGTCTCCATGAACCTCAGGCCCTGGTCCAGTTCAGCTCTCATGTGGTGCACATGTGCCATGGTGTGCACACTCCAAGCATCATCTGGGGTCAGTGCCAGGGCCTGTGGGGTCAAGGTAAGGGTGGACAATATGACCTAAAATTATCACAAAATTATTTCACTTTTTGGATGATGACGGTATTATATCATGGTATTATTTTGGGAGCAGTAGCATGTACCACCCCTTTATGTAAGTTAAAAAAATTGTATATATTCAGTACACTATAATCGCTATTACATTTGGGTATGGGTGGACTTATTTTGAAAAAATACAAAAAATTACATTTTCTCATATTCATTTTAATTGTCAGAGTAACAATGCAATGGGAATGACAAGCCGCTTCAGCAGAAAACAGTGCATTTTACAGTTAATATCTAATAAAACGCAGGGTTGCCAACTTTGGTAAGCTGGCTGGAGTGAGGTTTTCAATTTGAGGCAAATCTGCACACATATGGGACCTACTGAAATAAAGGTAGCTGATTATGAGAAAGACCTTGGTGTGTATGTTGATGCTTCCATGTCTCATTCTCGCCAGTGTGGGGAAGCAATAAAAAAGGCCAATAGGATGTTGGGGTACATCTCCAGGTGTGTGGAGTTTAAGTCAAGGGAGGTAATGCTAAGATTATACAATTCCTTGGTGAGACCTCACCTAGAATATTGTGTACAGGTTTGGCCACCATATCTTAAAAAGGACATAGCGGCCTTAGAAAAGGTGCAGCGTAGGGCCACAAGAATGATTCCTGGTCTTAGAGGAATGTCATACGAGGAAAGGTTATTTGAGCTAAATCTGTTCAGCCTCAAGCAAAGGAGACTGAGGGGGGA